GAACTACCAAATGTAACGAAATCTTCCATTATTTCCTGTCTTGATAATATAAGCACCTGGTGAAACTCAAGATATGACAATCGTGTACACACAATTCAGACAAACCTCGATAGTTTGTTAACCCAATCGGTTAAATGGTCCGTGGCAATCAACTCACAAGGCAAGGGTTGTGTAGATGGATGCACTTAGGACGTTCATAGAATTCTCCAACCTTCGAGAATGAACACCACTAACTGAGTGTTCATAGCAAATCATTACCTAAAAGCAACGAGGAACTTCCGGTTGTTCGCACCTGGAAGTTTCAAGACATTGATGACACGAGTAATGTTTGCTGGGACACTTGGTAACATTTTGACTAGCCTTCAGACCATCTTGGCGAAATCAAGCTTGGAAACTTCGTACGAGTATCAAGCTTTCCCCTGAAAATTGACTCACATCTTTTGAAAGGAATTTCTTTGAACTTTAACTTAGATTAGAGAGAGGAGGACATAACGCAAGAAGATAAATGCCAAGTATAAACTTTATCACATTTGAGTGCTATTTTTCATATCGAGCAGTCAGCTCATTGAACAGGATCCCGAGAAGGTTGGTGTCTGTGACAAACATGGATTCATTCAGTAGAAGATTGGAAAAAAACATAAATCTACTAAGAACGGATTAACACAGCCATAGAGGTTACTACTCTTAAGCCAAAAAATTGAATCTACCTATGCTAAACATTTTTGATCATATTTCACCCTAATGAACCTGAGTTTTTTGAATGACGTGAGGGTAAGTTATATGATAGTTTACATTATTGAGATAGTAGAGATGTTTTATAACTCAAGAGAAGGATGATAATCTTTGGTATTCTCCGAACTTTGAGGTTTGTTCTTGCTTGTTTCAACTCTTGGATAGGTGACTTCATCAGCGCTTACTTTGTAAAGTAAGAGCTATATTTTTATTTAGTACTAACCCGTCATCTAAGTTTTGGTTCACTTAGTCGTTTCGAATTCCATTGATTAACTTTTTAACTGAAGGTTGAAATTTTTTTACATTCTAGAAATCCATCTTGCATATACGTTCGACAGCTTACTCACATACTGACCACTAATTTTTGTGGGATAATAGTCAATACTTATTTTTCATCGTCATAAGTGTAACGCCTACAAAAATATAAAATTTTGGTCAACAAAGATAAGCGTGAATTTCTTTTATCAGATGATTAGAATTTATATTGTAGAATATCGCCTTGGTTTATTATCTATATGCTCGCCTCTTTCGACGTAATTAATAATCATATAAATACAGTGATTTCTTATTTGGAATCCTTTCGGAAACAGGAAAAATTCATTTGCCATAGTAATTGATCTCCACGAAGAGTTAGTTGACTTGATGTAAACAAGACAATGAGATGGTGCAGTTTGTCTGGATCGTGTATGTATTTGCGCAATCCACTCAGAACGGTCTAATCATATGCTTACTTGTCATGGGTATTTATGTGAAAGTTTATAAAGAGATAAGAGGTGATAATCTGAAAAGAGGTCAAAAAGAAAAGTTAAATCGAAGGTCAAAATAACAATAGAATCCAATAGAGCGGACTTATAGTACATGAACCTTGATTTCAGAGCCGAATTCATCAAGGAATGATTAATTTGGCAAAGAATTGTTGTTGAACACATAAAGATGGTTTAAACGTCTCAATAGTTAAGGATTCATTGAATTTGAAGACCCGTCCCTAACACTTTCTGTAAGTAGTTTTGAAGGATGTCTAAACATGAATTTTGTGACTTGTTTCAATGATATGTTTTGTAGTCGGCGAACTTGGACCTCTGCTGCCAATATTTATCGGTTCAGATGGTTCCATTCTCATTTGAAGCCAAGGTGGAATATGCTACAAGGCCCTAATTGCATGGATTTATGAGTACTTTCTGTGTTCATGTCACCACATACGCGTTCAAATTGGTAGATACAATTGGAGATAATGTCATCGTTTATGAGCTGCAACGGACTTGGAATACCCTGACTATAGCTACATAGTGTATTCTTCTAATAGGAGAGACCGATTTTTGCTTGAGGATCACACCTTGAAGTCACCTTTGTATGAAAGTCTGGTGAAATAGTCTGTCTCTATGTCAAAGTGAAGTACAATAGCCATTTCGTACTGGCTGACAGATATTGATGGATAGTTTTCAGAATTACTGTACTAAAAATTCTTGCCTCACCTTTCAAAGTATCATCTGTGCATATTCGCTGAATCTTACTCTAAAAAACACCTGCCTACGCTAGTTTCTACAGAACTGGACGGAAGCCGTGATAATTCAGATATTGCCATTTCCAAGTAGTTTTTATTGAAGCAGGTCATTTTATCGATCCATTCTGCAATCGACTAACTAGTATATCTTCATCATAAAGTGTCATACAGAGAATAATCACTGTAAGTTACTTAACGCTGTAGACCAGGATCAGGTTTTATGCAACAGAAAAATTCCGATTTTGAGGCAGGCGTACTATCAGTAAATCAACAAATCTGATAAAATTACACAGTGAGAGACTTCAGACTTCTGTACTTTTGTGCTTTATGGCAAGCAGTCAACAGCAGCCATCCATAGACAGCAGCCTACGGTTTCCACATTGCTCGCCTCGTATTTGAACTAATGGGACACGCCTCACCAAAGTTACCATTAAGTTATCTGCAAATGAGACTGAAATCTAGAAGATAGGAAATGGATGGAAAATTAATGCAACAACCTATAGGGCATAAATCACAGCTACCGGATAAATTTTGAACCCAAGGTGTCAGCAGTTCTCCATGCGATTTATGAAAACCATCATAGTAATATTACTTGATGGAATTAGTCCCTTTCATAAATTTGAATAGTGTAACTACGAGTTTATTTGAAAAATGCAGCTTATTTGTGTCGTCTTTTTAACAGTCGGATCACATATTCACCTTTTGAGGCATTGTAAAGTCAAAATAGAAAAAGGAAATTACGATAAATATGATAATTTGAGACGTGCGGAAAAAATGGCAATCAATATAATGACGGGTCACCGGAGAGTACTCAGTTTCATGTAATCCAATTCTAAGGGTTGATCGAATTCTGTCTGTCACTTTGTAATCCTGTCACCCAGCTAGCAGAAGCAACATCTCAGTGCAGTTTTATCAATGTTAGGCCGTTGGAGGCCGTTGGCAGGAAGCTTTGAATCTATGTGCCAGGCTTTCTTAAAAAATCTTCCACGGGAACTGAAATCCTCTTCATCAGTGTATTGAACCAGTCCTATCAGAGGTCAGCCATTGACCAACTAGCCCAATTTTAATGTCTATAACTGGAGTACTGGGTGAATTACTCAGGGGATATCAAATTCCTCAAGGATAACGATACATACTATTAACGAATATCAACAAGCATAAAGCTGAGATCTTCGGCTACCAGCCGATGACTTCCAACAAACTAACATCAAAGGTAATATGGGAATAATTGTGAGTTTTGAAATCATCTTTTTTAATGAGGTTAAACATACATCACCAAAATAAGTGTTGGAAAAAAAATTGTTTTTCAAGTACTTGATACTGAGTAATGGCTGAACGTGAATGAACAAAAGCCTGGTTCGTGGAATTTGTGAAATCAGAGAGTTCTAGGTAACCGGCCAGAGTTGAAAGACCAGATTGCTGACGGGTCTTAACATCGATCACCTAAGTAGTCGTCTGTCTGCGCTGGCATTTGTGTGAGAGTTCTTGTAAGTGTAGAAACACTGCAGAGGTGTTTTGTCCCACTTTCGGTCTTCTCAGTAGCGCATCATCACGACATTGAGACAGCGAGAACTCGGGACAGTCAGATCATGCAGCTGACGCGATGAAATTCAGTCAGTTGGTTGAAATCCAATTGTATACTATTTTCTGTCTTTTTGAATTTGCAATATAGCCTGACCATCATCCACTGTCGCAATTTGGAAACTGCTTCATTACAAAGGAATAACACAAACCTTTATCCGCCTCATTCAACAACTATATGAAGACGCCACATGCCAGCCAAGTAATTCACAATGGAAGCTCAGCTCAGTGATGCTTTTGAAGTGAAGTGAAGATAGGAGTAGGAGTGAAACAAGGTTGCCTACTATCCCCCATGATATTCCTGATTGTGGTCGACTGGACTGGATCATACAGCAAACAGTGGGGAGCTGTGAGAAGAGTGGGATACGCTGGACTGCGGAAAAGAACCTAGAAGATCTGGATTTCGCTAACTATGACTTGTGTCTGATGTCACATAAACTGAAGATGTACAGGCGAAAACTAACAAGTTG